AAATGACTTGGCCTAACTCACCACTAATAATAAGTAAGGGTGGGTAATGGGTAAATTTGGATGGTTTTCTGTCTTAAGTTGACTTATTCGTTTACTAACGAGTTAATTCATCAATTGTGATCCGTAATTTACCTACTTTTTTTCCGAGAGATTGGATGGATGGTGAGTGGATGCGGTTGGATTGTGGGTTTACTTGCAAATAAATTCTCTTATTACATTAGGCAAGTTGACTAATTAAATTTATAATCAATTAGACATTTCTTACTTTATCTCCTGTAAATCCGCCTGAGATGTGTAAAGTTTTTATTACTCATATCGACTTTTCAGTTGGCCACTTTAAATGGAGTATTCACTCACAAAGAAAACAAAGTCACTAAATGCATATGCCTAGAGATGCTTTTTACATGTGTGTATTTCAATTCTTTCATAGAGGTATCAAATATTTCATTACATCATCAATCAATTGTGTAGAGAAAAGTGACTCTTTATAACCTTAATACAATTAAAAGCTTATAGTTTACATCCCAAAATCAAATGAACATTACCCAAAAGGTCCACATCACCTAATTGGTCTATTTTGTTCAATGTGGCTCCACGAGTTCCATAGTTTTGCAATCCCATGTGGTTGACAAAAATGTTTCAAATCGACAACTAAAAATAAGTCATCACTCTGATTGAGTAAATTAAATAAATTGAAATCCCAATACACATCCATAAACAGGGTTTACATAAGAAAATGACCAACTTACCCGGCTTATGTGACATTATGCTTAATTTATCAAATCTATATAGATGTTCAAATGGATTGGATTAAGGGATGGTTTGCTTGTAGGATATAGGGTGGGATTTTGCCTAAAAAATCCAACATCTATTAAATTATGGCTCAAGTTCGTGTTCGGTTATGAAATGAAATTTGCTTGTTGCTAGTGGGGCCCACACAGGTAAAATAATTTGGAGAAGGGCAAATATTTATGAGGTGAAGTGACCCAAATGGCATTGTCAAATTTTAATGTTCCTTTTTTGTCCTCATGTGTATATTGTTATATCTTTGTAATTTTTGACCATCACTTACTGAATCGTTGTAATTTTTTAGTTAAACAACTCGATTGTTTTACTTGACCATTACGCTATATGTCTCTTTGCTCTGTTGCATTGGATTAATGGTACCTACTAATTGATTTTCTTTTGATGTACCAAGTGAGATAGCTTTTCAAATTGTTATACATGTGATAGTGTTATAGGAAAGTAAATTCCTCCTTTAATCAATAAATCCAAAGGAAACAAATTCATTTTGAAATCCAACGAGCCATTTATATAATCCAACACGTACAAATTCAAAATAGCAAAATCCAACATAATCTTTCCACCCCCAAAATTCAGGGGTTTTCTTAAATCTCTCATTTTTAAAAACCCTACAAGCAAACAATCTCTAAATGGATTGGTAGATTCATGAATCCAAATTACATCCAAATCTTATACCATTATGAAAATTTTAGGCAATAAAATATCATTTAAAAAAAGGGTATCATAGAAGAATTTTCATACATATCCTCTTCCCACCCTCCTTACCATCCTTCTTGTCAGGTGCATTTCCCATTTTTATAGGAACTTCTGTACCAGAAATAATTTACATATAAAAAAAGCCATGTATCAAATTGTAAAGTATGAAACTACAGGTACTATATTGTAACTTGCCAACAATCTATGAATTCACCAATTAAATTGGATTGGATTTAGAGCTCTTGTACTAAATTGTAAAGTATTGGTACGTCGAAATACAAATTAAATTAGTGCAACAACATTAAAGATAGAGTGAAAATTGGTGCACGTGTGGTTACCAGACCCATATTTTGTGGGTAATCACAACCACAAAGTCATGATTTAAGCAGAAATCACACCCCAAATGTAAAACCAGTATAAAAAAATAGTACCATTTCATATATGAGTTTTAAAAAGGGAGAGAAGGAGGTGAGTGGTGAACTCGCTGCTGCCTCACTGGTGTCGTCGTCGGGCGGATGCTGCCTTCTCCAGAAGATTGGCATTTTTCCTTTTCTTTCCTCTATGACTCTCGTATGCTGCTGCAATCTCTAAGGTTGGGAAATACATCAACGAAACGCAAGGATTACATAAATAAAAACATAGAAAAATACTTCAAGAAAATACAAGAAATACAGAAATACTACATAGGCAAATACATGAAAGAAACATAGGGGAATACATCTCATTTCTACTCTTCTCCTTGTTTTGTCTGTAAATGCCAATCAAATCATTTTTCAATGCATGATGTTCTGGACTATCACGAATCCTATTACCTCTATGATAAAAATAACTATTTTTTAATTTTTTACTTGACCTTATTCATGGGGTTTTTTGTGTAAATTTTTGTTTATTTGTTTTGCATGCGCAATGGTTCCTACAGCTTCTTGAACGGTTTTAGTGGAGGCGTGTAAGCGTGCATCATTGGTGCTTAAACATGTTGTGCGGTATTTTTATACCATTCTGTGGATTTTATAGTCCTTTTTGTTACTGCATTCAGAGATGTCCGTTTGGTAATACAAAAGGCTCTTTCATTGACGAGTTGATTAGTTGTCGCTCGCCCCACTTGATTATTTCATTTCCTGCATACTGCCTTGTATCCTTTTGTATCCTACTATGATAAAACTAACTGCCTAATCTGCTAATCATTGTACAACTCTTTTAAACCTAATAAACCGGAAAACAACCAATCAAAATATGTAAATTAATAGCAATTCCTTTTACAAAGCAATATAATTAAATTTATAATACAAATCATGGTAAGAAGGTGGAGGAATTAAAAAACCGAACGCTCCTACTTGACCTAATCAAACAATATGTTATAATGTAATATTAAGAATCATCAACTTTAACCTAATTCAAGGAAAAAGTGTATGGAGGTGAAGTTATTTTAATTCATGCCAACTTCTTTAACATGGCTGGAGGTGTTATTTAATTCCGAGTTCCCATGCGAACTATTTTAACATGGCTGGACATGATTCATGGTTGTTTCTCATATGGGTGAGTAGTTGTCCGTAGAACAAGCTTGAATATTAAAGGATAGAGTAGGTTGGCATTTTGCATATTATTTGATAGGAAGTGGTATATGACCACTATTCAATAACCAGAGTTATTGGGATCGGTTCATTTATAATATGATATTAAAGTTTTGTAAATAAATTGTAGAGATGACAACTGATCGATCAAGGCGGATAGTGCATATTTATTATCATACTTGATAAGGTTTTCGGTATCTATGGTTATCCATGAGTATTTCTTTTATAACTCCAATTATTGTCTTTAACATTCAATCATTGTTTTTACAAAAGTGAAAAAGAGCGACAATAGATCACTAGAATGAAAAAACTAGTTAAAACAACACAATTTCACAAACATATTAAATATTTTATAATATGTATATAAAATATGCTGAGAAAAATAATGATAATTTATTGAAAAAATTATACATGTACATAATCGGACAGTCTGAATTTTATAGTAAGAAAATTGTGTACATCCATTATCCATGATAAAAAGCAAAGGAGCTTGATTATTCCAACATGGACTGGACTCTGGAGTCCAAAAAAACAAAGCCCAACAGCACTTAAACGTGACTGGGGCCCACAGGCGCCTCTTCTCTCTTCTTATCATTTAATTCATTCATCCGACCCTTCCCCGCTATTTATACCTTATCCCTTTTCTTTTGGGCAATTAGCCTCAATGGTAACAAAATTTTGGTTTTATATAGTAAAATAATTAAAAAAAATTCATTTTACACAATGCAATAATTTATATATGAACAATATAACAAAATAATTAACCCGTATATCTCCTAATTCAATATTTTATTAATTTAAACCGGCCAGCAATCCATCAGCGTCTAACCCCTTTCCTAGCTCACCTTCTTTTTCACTCTACTCCCCCAGTTTTACTGCTCTCTACTTCTTCTTTTCCATATTTTAACTGTTCTGTTTGTTTTTATACGGCAATTGAAAGTATCAAATATTGTTCGACAATTATTATGTTTTTACTATTTCCATTTATTGAATAGTTCTGCCTTGCAATGCTCACATCTCTCTATACGTGTTCTTTTTAGAGTTTGGTGCCTGCCCGCAGGCTTCCCTTCTCATTTTGTCCTCGATCGTGTTAACTGTAATAGCATTTCAACTATATGTATAGGCTTCATCCCAATAAAATAATTATCATGTGGAGAACAAACACTTAGAATAAAGTATTTTCTATTATCAAAATTTATGGGATTGATGAAATTGATAAAAAAAAATTGGAAATTTTGTATCCGCATCCATGCATCGATCATGAATCGCTCGCACTCGATCCAACGATCTAGAGCACGATAGCAAGGTTCGAAATGATCCTAGCTAAGCTAGCATACGAATAAGGAACTAACAAGTAACAATGACACGCTTTAGAACAAGTTAGCTTATAACATGTTTTTATGTCTGTACTTCTTCTTTCATTCTTTCATATAATTTTTGTGAAACATTTGCGTGCAAAGCAAAGCTTCCTTCCCAATGCCCCCACTTTTTGCGTTGGTGTATATTCATTCCCATAAATTAAGTGATTAAAACAACTCACTCTTCTATTAAAATATGCTTAAAGAAACAAGATTTAAAAAATAAAAAGGAATTAAAGAAGCACAATTACAGAAGATCATCAAGTGAAAGATTCCACAGCACTAATTACTTTCAGAAGAAGAAATAAACTTAATTTCAACTTTGAAAATCAAATTAGTTGCCAATTTGACAGGCAGATCAGATCTCACCACACAAGCTCCAAAAGAAAAAGAAAAGAAGAAATGAAACAAAAAAAAAAAAAAATACGATTAACCAGCGCACACCACAACACAAACCATCCATCTCTTCCCCACTTCTTCATAAAACCTCCCATCACAAGAATTCACCCCCCTTCTTCTTCGTCTTCTCCTCTCTCTCTCTCTCTCTCTCTCTCTCTCTCTCTCTCTCTCTCTTCTTCCTCTCACTAATAATTTCTTCTTCCCCCCCAAAATTCCCATTTCCCATTTCCGCCACCTCCTTTTTTTCACTCCGATTCCTCTTGTCCCACCTTGTGGGGAGGGAATTTGCAGTACGCTCTGGTAGGGAAGGGGGAAGAAGAAGGAGATTAAATTCCTCTGGCGGGGACATCGCCATGGCAGCATCATCAGCAGCTCCTCCGCCACCCCAACTCGGAGCTGCTGAAGCAGCAGCAGCAGCAGCCGGCCGCGACAACGGCAATTCGAATTCAGGCGAGATTGAAGAGAGGAGCAGCAACAGAGGAGAAGAAGGAGACGGCGGCGGCGGAGGAGGAGGAGGAGGCAGCGGCGGCGGTAGTTACGGCGGAAACCGGTGGCCCCGGCCGGAAACAATCGCGCTGCTGAGGATAAGGTCGGAGATGGATTCGGTTTTCCGAGACTCCACTCCTAAAGCTCCATTGTGGGAGCAAGTTTCCAGGTACAAACAATTTCATAATTGAGCTCCCCCTAAATGAATTTCTCTCTCTAGATCCACCCCCCAATCTCGCTTTCTCTCTCTTCTGTCCTTCCCCCCCTTTTTTCTGGGATCTCGCCATGAATGAATACAATAATAATGAATGAAGTGGGAAGTTGGAAGTAAAGAAGTCAGTAGCTAGATAGTACAGAAAGAGAGGAAGATCTCTTGCAATCATTTCCTGGAAAATCAGAATTTCCTTCTTTCTCTCTCTCAGCTGCTGCTGCTTCTTCTTCTTCTTCTTCCTCGCTCCACTGATTTAAGCCAATTAAATCCCCATCCGTTTTTCTTTTTGGTTTGCTTTTTCTCTTTTGCATTCAAATTTGCCTTTTGGCTGCAAGCCATTTTTCGCTCTTTTAGAACCGCCTCCAAATTTGGTAAGGGGGGAAAGAAAGCAAACCAGCACAATTTAATAAAGTTGCGGGACTGTGATGTGAACAGTAATTTAATCTGTTTCAAAAAATTGACGGAAGAGCAGGAAGCTTGCGGAGCTTGGATACCATCGAAGCGCCAAGAAATGCAAAGAGAAGTTCGAGAACGTGTACAAGTACCACAAGCGCACCAAAGATGGCCGCACCGCCAAGCACGACGGCAAGACTTACCGCTTCTTCGAAGAATTGGAAGCTTTTGAAGGCAAGCAACAGCTCCAATCCCCCACCGCCGCTCCTCCTCCTCTTCCGCCCAAGCCGGCGCCGGCATTAATTACTCCGGCATTGCCAAACCACAACACAATTCCTCATCAAATAATCCCCACTGTTCCATCAGCGCACGGCAACAGTACTACTACTACTACTACTACTCCCCTTACTTCATTCAACTTCACCATCACCCCTCCGAGCAATCTCAGCCCTACAGCTGTCACTCCAGCCGAGCCGATCTCCTCATCCCAGCCGCTGAATCCCAGCCCGCAAAGCGTCTTCCACCCTTCCTACCACCACCACCACCACAACAATCGCCAGGCCGCCACCGCCACCGCGCATCTCTTCTCCAGCTCCACCTCCTCCTCCACCGCCTCCGACGAGGAGCCGAAGGAGGAGGCTCCGGCTGCCGCCGCGGGGACAGCAGCTACCACCCGGAAGAGGAAGAGAAAGTGGAACGACTTCTTCGAGAAGCTGACCAGAGACGTGATAAGGAAGCAAGAGGAGCTCCAGATGAAGTTTCTGGAAACCGTCGAGAAGCTCGACCGCGAGCGCCTGATTCGGGAGGACGCGTGGCGCGTCCAGGAGCTGGCGAGGATCAACCGCGAGCACGAGGTCCTGGTCCATGAGCGCTCCACCGCCGCCGCGAAAGACGCCGCCCTGCTCGCCTTCCTCCAGAAGATGTCCGGACAAGAAATTCCTCGTCTCTCATTGCCTCCTCCTCCGGCACCGATAGCGGCTCACGCGATGCCGCAGCCTGCTCCCGCGGCGCAGGCATTGGCGGCGCCGGTAGTTCAAGCGAGAGAAGTTGTAATCAGGAGAGAGAGCAGCAGCAGCAACGGCGCGGCGGCGGCGAGCGCGTCGAGGTGGCCGAAGGTGGAGATCAACGCGCTGATCGCGCTGAGGACGAGGCTGGACGAGAAGTACCAGGAGAACGGGCCGAAGGGCCCGCTGTGGGAGGAGATATCGGCGGAGATGAGGAAGATCGGGTACAATCGGAGCGCGAAGCGGTGCAAGGAGAAGTGGGAGAACATCAACAAGTACTTCAAGAAGGTGAAGGAGAGCAACAAGAGGCGGCCGGAGAATTCCAAGACCTGCCCTTACTTCGAGCAGCTGGACGCGCTGTACAGGGAGAAGAGCATCAGCACCACCGCCACCACCACCACCACGGCCAAGATTGGAACAGTAATGTCCTCGTCGCCGCCGCCCACGGATGGTTACATCGCGGCGAATCCGTTGAGGGCGGTGGAGCCGGTGGCAGCAGCAATGCCTCAGCTGCAGCAGCAATGGCAGGCTCATAGTCATCCTGCTAATCCGCAGCAGCATGACGCCCACGACGAGGAAGAAGAAGGAGAAGGTGAGGAGGATGACGACGACGAGGAGGATTACGAGGATTTGGAGACGGAGGACGATGAAGAAGGCGTCGGGGTTCGCGGCGGCAGCAATGGAGGTGGATTTCAGGTTGTACAGAATAGACCCATAGCCGCGAACGAGCAGTGAGTGAATTTTGAGAAAATAGTAAAAAATTCAATTCGTTGGTGAAAATATTATATGACTCGATTTTTAACGTGTGAAACTACAACGATACTGTTTCTGTAACGGTATCGTTGTAGTTTCGGAGGACGAAATGATTGAGTTAAACTAAGATTAAGCAAACGTGAGGGGTTGTTGGTGGTGGTGGTGGCACTACAAATGTGTGACTTCAATTATGCCCATACACATGGGACAGGGCGGAGAGAAGGAAAAGGAAGATGGGGTTAGTTTTTGGGTTGGCATTCTACAGTGGGATCATAAACAAATTTTTTATTTATTTTTCTGTTGCTTTTTCTATTTAATTGTTTTTATTTTATTTTTTACGAATTGTTTGTTGCATAGATAACACTGTGAAGAAAGAGAGGGGATGGACAGGATGAATAAAGGATAGTGAGAGAGGAGGATTTTTTTTACTTTTTTTATTATTATTATACAGAGTTGTTTGTTGTATTTAAGTTTGTGTCCATATATAGAGAGAGGAGATGAGGCGGAAAAGAAGAAAAGTGGAAGAAATAAAAAAAAGGGGGAATTTGCAGTGATGTATCTGTCTGTCTGTCTGTCTATCCTTTTCTTTCTTTTTTCAGTATGGGTTTGTGGGGGGATGTAATGAACTGTTTGGTGTGTTTGGTTTTTTGTTCTTTGTGTGTGGCCGTTTTGGGAGGATGATCTCACCTCAATCATATTTCTTTTCACTTTGTTTTCTAAAAATGTATGGTTTGGGGTTGGAAGGTGGGAACCAATGTATTTCTTTCAGTAATTATTAAAATTAAACTCCGAAACAATGATTAGAAAGTCTTCGGAAACACAAGGCACTCTCGATTTCCATAGTGCACAACTCATTAAACAACATCTTATATTCTTGATATGCAAGACTGCCTTCCATCATGTATCAAACCACTGCACGAAATATAGTTGTCATTCGTGGGTATGAATGCAACATTGTAAACAAATGAATTTTCGTTGGTTGATATATAGTACGGATTTGGATATTGATACCCAAATTTGACGATTGAGGAGTTGATATTTCTTTATTTAATTGAGATTACAAATCACTTGCTACCCTCTTCCAACTCGGGAGAACTCAAGTCTAATCTATATACTAGTAAAAAAAAAATTAACTCGAATAAATACAAACATTTAGCTCTTTTGAAAATTACAATTTTATCCTTTTGGATGATCTCCTAAATTAACATTTATTACCCTTTCACTCTCGTAGAAATTAGAGCTATTTACCCCCTTGCCAAGACAAAATTTACTACACAACGTCTCTATGATTTCTTTAATTATATATACTTAACCATACACTTTAACATATTTAATGATATCCTAACACATTAATTATAGTAAGGCTATGTTTGGTATATGACCTGGATACATGCTTTTTTATATAAATAAATAAAATCTTTGTATATTAGAATTGGTGGTGGCGCGACATTGTAATGTGAGAGCTTTGATTATGAATTATCTGGAATTTCAATAAAGAGGGCCCTCTCTGCCTATTCCCCTTCTCAAACATGCCAAACCATCACATGTGTGCAGCTAATAGGAATCTTCTTCTTTGAGTTAGTTTCAATCAATTCCCTCCCTCTCTTTTGATTTTTTTTTTTCCCATTGAGTTCTCATTTTTTACTCCCAACCGGGTGCATGTAACAGCTTAGGATAATTTAACATCGACAAAGTACGAGTGAAATTTATGATTTATAAAGAGACTGATCTTAATTGACAATTTGTATTTTTGGAAACAAATGGAAGAGTTCTTGTGAGAATTCGAAGTTAAACATTCCCTAAACATGCTCACAGTGAAGCACTGTAAGAATGCGTAACCTTATAAAAAGTTATCTTGATATACACTTCAACACAAAAATCGATGAGGATCTAAACCTAAAGCGGACAATATCTTTTCGAAAAAAGTTTCAGGATGTTATAATTACTCTATGTAATTTTCCTTATTAAAAAAAAAATTGTTTCACATAAATAGAGCTTGGGCTTCCACTTGTTTTTATGTTTTTATTATCCTTTTGGTTTTGTCCAAATATAATGGTGGTTGACTTTCATTTCTCTAGAGCTAGCTGAGAGACCCATCATGGATTTGATTATTTGCTGCTATTTTATTATATATTTGTTTCTTCATATCTCATCCATCAAACAACTCATCATTATCATTTGACAGCCCAAGTTTGAAAAACTTTGGATAATATATTCACTGGTGATAATATTTGGGAGTGCCACCATACATTGTTCCCATTTTGCACTATTGTTGCTTTTATAAAAAATAAATCACCCTTCCATAACCATTTTGGTGGCCATTGCATAGCTGTTGTATGTCTTGAGTTGTCTGGTTGTATGTGCAAGTTGGGTATGAAAATATTGTTAATTAGATGAATGCGTCGGAATTTCTACCGTGAAAAAGTTATAATATGTTAAAATAATTCAAATAATTTCAAATTAATACAAATAAACGATTTTGTTAGAAACTGTTACGTTAATGATAGGTTGGCTAATTCTTCATTTGCTAACTAATGATGACGTATATCATGTTAAGAACTAGAAGAAAATTCTAGTATCGTAAATACGTAGAAAAATCCATAAAAGAGGGATAGGATTAGGGAGATTTTAGTTGCATGACGAAGTCAATCTCAACACTCTATTTAAATTATGATCTAATGACTCAACTTAGTCTCATTTAATGAATGATAAGATGGTAATTGCATGATTATTTTATTTATGAATTAAAATAATAAAAAAATAAAGTGGGCCAGTTCGAATTTTTTCCTCTCTTCAGCGGCTTTGTAATATTTATTGATTTCTTTTGTATTGTTTATAAGCTTTGTCATTTTTGTTTATCATGTTTGGAATGTTTGTAAGTTTTGTCTACTGTGTTTGCAATGTTTATATGACTCAAAAAATAACATGGTTGACTTTGGAACATATCGTTTGGATGGATCAATCTAGAAATGAGTCAATTTGATCAATTGTCTCGTTTTATAAACGAGGCAATTAAAATGAGTCAATTCGAATTATCTGCCCCCACCCCAAGTAATTGAAATGGACTCAAAACAGATCAATTCAAAATACCTCATGCAGATTGATCCATCTAAATTTTTTGCTGGCAAACGAGGCAATTTGGTACAATTGTCTCAAAACGAGACAATTGTATCAAATTGATCCGTTACAATTCCTCATCAAAACAGATCTATTAGAAACTGAGCCTCCAAAGTCAATCAGGTTGTTTCTCCATTTCGTATGATTTGTATTGTTTGTAAATCCATTATGTATGGTTTCTATTGTTTTTAAATCTAGTTTGTATAGTTTGTATGATTTGTGTGGTTTGTATGGTACGTATAGTTTGTCATTTTTGTCCACCATGTTTGTATGTCTAAATTGAGTTATTAGATCATAATAATGGGTTTTATTCGCTTTGACCTGATTGGATCAAATTGGACGCCTGTGGGTTCAGATTCGGTTGAGATTGTGCATCAAACAATCCCTGAATTAAGATTCTTTAGGATATGCCACAAATACAAATGCAAAAAAACCATTTTAAGATACAAATTATCTTGCTGGGTTGCAAGTTGCCAACTTATTTCCCTGAGGAAGAACAAACATACCACTAAGTATGTTATTTTAGTAACCCTAAGGCTTTGGGAGTATGGGATGGGGTACATTATTGCAAAGTGCCCATGAAAAGTTAGGTATCTGAAGAGAGCCCAGTAGTATTTTAATGGTCATGGATGGTCTCTCATGATTATACTACATTTATATATAGTATACATATACACTTGTGATCTGGACTGTTTCTGTTGTGAAGTTGCAGAGAGAGAGAGAGCAGTGCATGTGTTCTTTGAGATTTCAGGAAGCTCCTGTAACTATCATGGCCATAGTAGGCAAAATTTAAAAGGCAGAAACCTGTCTTTATCCTTGACAGAACACTATAGAGATATCTTCATGGACTGGATAAGGTTTCATTTGAACCCACCACAAGTTCGGTGGCAACTTTTGTATATGTAACAAAGCAAGGTTTTTGCTCTCACCGTTTGCTGTGCTACCAAATTGATATTTAACATACCGTTTGATATAAATGAATTTCATAATTTTTGAGAAATTTATTTTGAAATGAAACATTTTTGTGTTTGGTATTTAAAAGAATTCATTTTCAATTCTAAATTTTGAATTATATGGAATTGGTACCAGTCAGTTATAGCAATTTCGAGGAATTAAAATGAAATTTCCAAATGAAAACAAATGTTGTATCTGTATCTAAAATAATACAGAGACAAATGAGAATTCTATAGCGTCCCGTTTTCATTGTCTCTATATCCCATTTTCATTATCTCCCTCTTTTTTATCAATTGTGTATTTGTGTTGATTTTTTCCTACGTATGAGTTCTTTTTTATATATTTTATCATTGATTTGGGTTTGCCTTATATTGTTCCTATTAGGACCGAGAGAATACAATCTTTGCTATCCTTTTTCCAATATTATTCATCTAATCTTCTCAATCCAATTTTAATGTTTATATTTCTATTCAGTAAGTTGCCGGTTAATCATTAAGCTGCTATTCGGTTATCGATTAAACCCAAAATTATTTGAATATGTCAATAGTCGTACCGCTAACTCATAATTAATTAGTTTATTAGCGTAACCGACTAACCTCAATATATATTTTTATGCATGATTCTGGTGTATATGTAACTCGATTTAAATATATTATGAGAATCAATGATTCAACCCCTAAGTGATAAGAAAACAGGCTTAGCACAGTAGGTTTCTGGATCTTATTTATTATTTTGGAAAACTGACCTTAATACCAATAAATTATAAATGTATAAGTTTTTTTTATAATAAATGTATAAGGTTGTTAGAATGAATCAATTGCAAAACTAGATAATTTAGTCAATTGTTTCGTTTTACAAAATGAGTCATTTAAAAAAAAATCAATTTGAATTACCTGCCTCCACCCCAGATAATTGTAATTGTCTCAAAATAAGACAATTCAGAATTCCTCGGACCAAATTGCTTCATTCAAAATTTCTGTTGCCAAACAAGTCAATCTGGCCCAATTGTCTCAAAACGAGACAATTATATCAGATTTGTCCATTAGAATTTCTCACTCAAACGACCCTCTTCTTAGTGGTTTAGGATTTTCTTTGTTTTATTCGCTTAGTAATATTACAGCACTTAATTTTTTTTTTGTGACGCCAAAAAAAGTATAGTTTCTTTTTTGTAAAAAAGGTTCATTGAATTTTCGCAGGGCTGCTCCACCATTGAAAGGAATCTCTCTCAAATTATTTGTACATGTAATGAGTATTTGAACTTTTTAATAGAAAAATATCTTTAATCACCTTTCATTGAAGAAATAAATCTACCACCCAAATAAAAAAGAAAATTCTTCCACTTTTCTCTTGCAGTGGAGTGCCTTTGATACATACATTTTGTAAAAGAATTGAACATCCCAGTCCTTTCCTCAAAGTAGTTTTTACAAGTAAGGTCGAAATCACTAAACAGCTTAATTCCAAGTCAACCACAATTAGTTAAAATCTGAATCAATCATATATAAGTGATATGCAATGAGATCAGGTACTAGTATTTAATTGACCATTTGGATGAGGAATTTGGGTCCAAATTGCATAAATGCATCAATTAGTTTAAAAATTACGTGTTTTATTACCTAAAAATAATTTTGAAATTGAGATTTGTGTTTAATATCCATATTTTGTGAGAATCGAAAAAAATCATACCACCCATCTATCGTTTTCTTCTTTTATTTTGGGTAAAAAAAGTGGGACACTAAAAGTACACTCCTACATGATACTTAAATTAAGCAAGATTGGACAACACCCATAGAGTCCTACACGGTCGAAAAATAAAGAATCGGAAAGGGTTAACAAATGATATCTGTTTGAACCTAACTGAGTGTAGGAGTGAGGTTCGAGTAAGAGTTTGGGTCAAGAAGAAACACGGGCGTCGGGTTTGATCGGAGGGAGAAGGAAGAGAGAGTCGAGTGAGAGTGAACTCCAGAACTTTTAGAGAGAGAAGTAGTTGTTATAGAGCGAGAATGGCTAAAAATGCGATCCTCTCACCCACCGTAGTAAATGCCGTATTTATAGGCTTCGTTGTGGTGGGTGAGTGGTTGACTCAAGTGGGGATACAACGATGTGACTATTGGGATACAATGATGTGACCACTGGCACACTAAGGATTTTAGGCCTTGTCCAGACCATCCCTCTACCTAGGACGTGTCAGAGACCTGTCAATGGCCCTGATGTGACTACCTCTTGGGAAGGAAAGCTACGCTCCTCTTCTCCCTTGGCCTGGCTTACGCTATGCTCTCCCTCGGCGCTTGTAATCCACTCCGCGCCTAAGCTCTTCGCACCGAGGCGTGGTTGACTGCGATGAGGCGTGGCGCTTGGAGTCTTCGCGCTGCCATGTCGGGGTCCATCCGGTCGCGCCCTGTTCCTCAACGTGGCCAGGCCCGACCTGTCCTTTGGCGCGGCTAGGCCCGAGTCACATGCCCAACAATTGCCCCCCATCAGGTGGTGTTTTGTGAACACCTCCTGTTTGGATTTTTTCTTGACAGACTCGGGCCTGTGTGATCTCCGTGAGGCTGGTCTTTTGGGCTTATTCCGCTCGTTTACTCTGCTTGTCATCATTGGTTGGCTCTTGCGTGTGCTCGCGTTGTTCTTCATCGCGCGCGATATTATGAGCTGGCGACGCGTTTACTGACGGCGCGCGCGTTATTGGGCTCTTCACCGCGCTTGTAGTAGGGCTTTATCCGCTGCGCGAGGCGTATCTTTCACCCGCGCGCTCACTATTAGGCTTTGGGCTCTGTTCGTTCGCGCGATATCCGGTGTTGCGCGAGGCGAGTTTTTCTTTCCTCGTGGGTATGTCCTGCCCCCCAGGCGGTGCGCGGCACTTGTGGCGTCGCCGACTAGTGCCTATGTTGATAGGTATCCACGTGTCACTGTGTGGTTAGGCTATTTGGGCGGGGATTTTTTGAATTTCGAAAAGATTTGGTGGGATCTGACGGTTACGGATCCCTATGTGGCTTTACCTAGGACGTGTCAGAGACCTGTCAATGGCCCTGATGTGACTACCTCTTGGGAAGGAAAGCTACGCTCCTCTTCTCCCTTGGCCTGGCTTACGCTATGCTCTCCCTCGGCGCTTGTAATCCACTCCGCGCCTAAGCTCTTCGCACCGAGGCGTGGTTGACTGCGATGAGGCGTGGCGCTTGGAGTCTTCGCGCTGCCATGTCGGGGTCCATCCGGTCGCGCCCTGTTCCTCAACGTGGCCAGGCCCGACCTGTCCTTTGGCGCGGCTAGGCCCGAGTCACATGCCCAACAATATCTTATCTCAATTATCATGAAATTTTTACCTTTCATTCTTGGTTGACAAGCTTCTTGAATATCTAGACGAGGTTGAAGTATCAACTATCATGTTGCTCCATTGTCGTAAGGATATCTATTGTTGTTGTGGAATGAAGTTGGAGTAGAATTCTTTTGTGGCCTTGCTGCCAAGCTCGAAGTGATCCTTCAATTGAACCAACTATCTATCTAGGTCCGAGTGCCATTAGCTAATTAATAAAAAACAAGGAAGTTAGTATAGCATATAGTTAAGTGTGAGTTTCTTGAGCCATAATACATTGATTCTTATATAGTTAAATTATTACTCAATTTTACATATAAAACATACTGCTTCATTATTTACATAAGAACTATTTCAACGGTTGTAAATGGAAAAAGTTTGTTGAGACATTTTTTTCTTTTCCGGTAGAAATTTTGACACAAACTTTTATATCGACTATGTCACGTCCTAGAATAAGACACTTACGGTCAGGCTTCTAGGGAGATCAGTTTTGTATTCCTACCTCTGCTCCCAAGTCATATGGAAGTGGCAGTTTATGGGTACCATAGACATCATGGACCTAAATTAAGAGACTTTCCCAACGACTTTCATTAATGATTAAGACTACGTGCATTATTAGGAGGTCCATGAATGATACTAGACCACTATATCATCGTCCATCAAGTGTTTCCCTCATTTCGTGCCTGTAATCAATCACATAGATCGGCGGTGGCAGGGGTGCAGCTTCCATAGTTCAATTCTATCATAGGGAAGTTCCTTTGCATTGGGGAACCTCATCTGTAGGACAATGAAACTTGATTATCATATCGAGCATGTTGATAGGGGAAATATATATTTATAAACTCATCTTCTTATCTATCGGCCTCATTTTGATCCTCCTCTCCATGGTCCACGTTCTCTTAATCTTCTTCCACATTATAGGTGTTGGCATTGCTATGATCCTCCTTCTCTTCATGTTTCACGAAATGTTTATGCTCCATAAGGCCTTTTTGTACCTTGATTTCTTTAAAACCTTCACACACTTCATTGAAACTTCTTTGATCGGTTTCGGGAGTCTCCTTGATGATTTGAACATCTTCTAGCAATTGCTTGAACCCTTCTTATTGTATGCTAGCATCGATACATGCACCTAGGAGGTCTTGATTTGATCTGGCGTCTTGATTGGAGGAAATCATGAGCTTTCTCCCATTCCTCTACAGTTATGTAGTCTCCATATGCTTCCCTTACTATCTTTAGGTTTTCTGTATCTATGTTATCATCACCCCACACAATATGGTTGTTTGCTTCATCATTCGATCCTCCTTGGCCTGTCTTTCTTCTTTCTTTTTGGTTTCACATCCTTGGATGGCTTGTTGGCTTCCTCTAGTGCGATTCCTGCAAAACAAAACCAATTAGAGCATAATATTTTATCTTTTATGAAATGAAAATCAAATATAAGAGGCTAGCTTCTTTCAATTACTATAAAAAATCTTCGTCAACAGCGTCAAAAACTTGATGTAGTATTCAAGAGATAGATTTTAGAGGTGTCTAGGGTTGTATTCCACAGGGTGGTGATACAATGCAAAGAAACCAATTGAGTTTGATGATGCAATGCAAAGAAAAGTAAATTAGTTGGGTTGAGGTGCCCTCTACTCGTGTACTACACTACTAATGCAAGAAAAATCCAGAATGCAAGCAATAAAGTAATGTTTAGGTAGCTTCTTCTAGATGGTCATGCATACAATCTCTAATAAGATGCATCTATGCATAATCTACTATGATGCCCTATTCCTTCCTCTAAGGCCACTCTCTTCCCGTGCATGTGCTTCTTGTGATAGAGATTTGACTAACTAATGCATGCTTTCACTTCATTCCATCACCTAATCAAGGAAGAACATGGAGTCTATGATAACATATCATTAATTGTGGGTTTCTACGAACCATAACTCTAGTATATAGAATTAATGATCTAAGAATCAAACATCATCCTCAGTCATGCATATAAGGGTAGCTAATCCTGCTATACACACCTAAGAAGGATGTCTACTACACGAGATTAGTTTCCTTGTTTCCCATAATAGTAGTATAAACAATCTATAATAAAATCATAATAAAGTCACACGAATAGATCAATCAAAAGATCATATGATAAAGAGTATCGATGATCACATAAAATAGATGATTAAAGCATGCATTCCATAAAGCAATAAGCATTGATGAAGCAAAGCATAGAAGGAAATGAGCATCTTACTAACTCATAGGAGAAAGGAACGAAATTACCATTGATACATGCATCGATGATGAATTCTTCCTAGTCAAGCTCCAGCAAAGCTTCTCCTCCTCTTCTACAGATTGCTACTCATGCCTAGTGGGACAGAGTGCTGAGAAGAAGGTGTTTTTAAAGTCTAGGCATGTGGCTCTATTTATATTAGTTACAAAAGGGTGGTTTTCTTGTCTTTTTTCCTCTTAATATCGACCTTATCCGACTTGAACCCAAATCCCTTCGAATTTTGGACGAAGTTACTCGCACAGAAAAACTAATTAAATCAATCAATAACTAAAGCATATAATGAATGAGAAATAGATTATACAAGCATAAATTAGCTCATGCATCGATGGTCAAGACATTGAACAAAATAGACATCTCATTGAAGCAGAGAACGTAATAATAAAGCATCATAGAGTTACACCCCTAAACAATTTAGAGCTAGCTATGCATAGAAGAATCTTACTCAATCGTTTTTACAAAATTAGATGATTTAAACATGTTGATTTTAAATTGTTGCATTTGAAATAATTTTATTTTTTCGTTAATATATAATTTCAGTCATCTCATTATAAATATCTCAAAATAAGACAATCCACTCAACTGCCTCATTTTTTTAATTGCTTTCTTGAACCCGACTTGTAACACTATCTTGAAACCATGTAAAATCCTGAAAATTCAGCTCAAAATGACTACCCTCCCCCGCTGTAATTTTTTTTTTTTTTTACACGAAGTTCATGAGTAATAATTCGGAAAAGAAAAGGGGGGAGAAAAGGAAAAAAAGCTGACCTAGAATGGGGCCGGCTTTTAACTAAATTTAGCTGGACAGACAAAAACCGACTAATTATCACCGTCGTCCCTTTGTGCAGCTGTTGATGAATTCCCTGTAATAATAACTGTTAGCCTCCCTGTAATTGCCTCATTTTTGTATTTTCTTTTTCTTTTCCCCGTCAATATATTATTATTATTATTTAAATTTATGAGTGTATATATCTTTCTGTGCCTGCCATCCCACTTTTATTATTGCCGGGGAGAAAACCCAGGTTCCATTTCCCCTCCTTTTTTAACTTCTCGACCCTGCCCATCCTACCCCAGGAAAAAAATAAAATATATGAAAGTTCATTATTCGGTATAATTTGTGTTCACATACTCATGATTAATAAGTTTACCTATTTACTTAGCATATTTAACATTTATATCATTTACTTCGGGTACATATCTAGGTGATTTGGATCTCGAGAGGTCACTCATCCTTGCATTATTGTACAGTGTGTAGGTTTAATTTGAAGTTCTTACAATAACGTGTTTTTACTTATAAATTATTGATTTCTCGTATTTTGTCGATATGAGATTCGGTTGATGTGTTATAGTCTATTGAGATGGTGGATTTTTTTAATCGCTTTCTTGTTACACTAGTGTTAGTTTTTTCTCTACGTTTTACATCATTGTAACATTTGACCGATAAATAAATATATTTTTTTAACAAAAATTATATGTATACTTCTCTGGATCTGATTAATTGAATGTGACAAATTGAGTCAAATATATGTTTTTTTATTTCTCGTTACTTGTTACTGTCCCAATACATAGTTTCTAAAGATTGTATTTATCTTACAAAGATATCATGTATTTTGGTCACAATATACTTTCAGAATAGATTACACATGCTGTATTTTTACGAGTTCCGTTGTAAAGATTTTACAAATGGAACACTGAATTGTGAAGTTAAGCCTCTTCTCACAACTTCGGCATGAGAAAACAAAAATGGAAAACCGTAAAATCTAAACTCTGAAAATAAAGAAATGGAAAAGATTCCACCGCAGCTATCATAATAAGAGAGATAAAAGTAAGAAACAAGCGGTAGAGGAAAAAAGTATTGTTGATAAATAAAATAAAACAAATAAATAAACAAGTAAGTACCCAAATGCAAGTAACATTTTATCCCAATAAAAAAAGTAAGCAAAATGTAAAAGAAAAGAAAAACAAACTTCTTGAGATCGACAAGCAGATCCCATCGAATTAAATTATTACAACAAAATAAAACTAAAAAGATAGGCACAGACCAAAAAACAAAAAATATATATATATATATTAGCAAGGGCAAGAAATAAACAAATATATATATATATATATATATATATATATATATATATATATATATATATATATATATTCATCTCCCATTTCTTTCTCTGTTCATATAAACTCTTCCCCGAATTTCACCCTCTCTCTTTTCTTTTCCTGGACCACTTTTTTTTTTTCATTTTCATTTTTCATCTCTTCCTCCTTTCTCCTCCTTCTCAATTTCTTCAATTTACTTCGAAATTACAGGCTGGGGGAAGAGGCGAGTGCTCCGTCCCCGTCTCTCCTTCAATGCTAGGAGACACCGCTACTGTTTCCTCCTCCGTTAATCCTGGCGGTGGCGGTGGCGGTTCCGCCACTAATACTCATCACCACCAACAACAACACCAGCACAACCTCCACCAGCAGCAGCATCAATCGCATCACAATCCGAATCCCGCCGCAATTGGCGGCGGCGGACTATTTCAAGAAGGAATCAGTACTTCCGATGCTGGAGGAGGAGGCGGTGGAGCGGGGCATGTCGGTTCGAGTTCCGGC